TGTGAGATGCGCTGAGATCTTTGCGTCCAGCGCCGGTAACCCCCGAGCCACAGCTGCCTCTGAGCGGCACCCGGTGATTCGTGAGCTGCTCTTCTGCCCCCACTCCTCATGGCGTCGAAAAAGCCTGGGAGTAACCAGCTAGCCTGCAGTGAAGACTGTATATAAGTGATAAAGGGCGACAATGCTCCTATCTTTCTGTTCCTCTTTAGGATTCAGTCCCCAGCTGTGCTAAAGCATTTATTTTTATCTCAGAGATGTCACCCAGAAATGCGTAGATTCTCCTGAAGACTTTCTCCTTTTCAGGATGCGTGGCTGTGCGCAGGAGCAAAACTCTTCTGGTGGTTTTAGGGTTCCGTGAGCGACTCCGTCTGAAGGGAGTTTTGCTCTGGGGAGCGGAGCTGTCAGGCTGCATGTGTGTCTTCAGGGCAAGTCTAATTTGGGTTTGATACCACCATGGTGTTCAACTTCCCTGTAGTCCCATAGGATGTCCTATAGAGCAATGCTTTCTTAAAGGGGGAAGTCTCAAAGTTTCGAAGTTCTTTTTTTTTTTTCTCTTTCTTTCTTGTATTGGTGCCTATACTCATTACGTGTCTCAAAAAAGCCATCCCCATGACTCTCAAAAAGGAATTATCTGAAGTGTAAATGTCTCCAAATTCTACCAGACAGAAATCTCAATTTTGCTGTCTTGATCTAAGAGAAAAACTATGGTTCTTTGGGAACTGCCACTGCCATGCCTTTTTGTATATTTAAAAATACAGATCTGTGAACCATGAAAACATTACATAAGACTATTTCTGTAATTCATATATAATAAGCCAGGCATAAAATTATTCTTATCCTTTGGGACATAAACCCCTTCAATTTTCTCAGTAGTCGAAGGGTTGTGTTTTGCCTCTTTCTTAAATACGTTTTTTTTTTTTTTAGGTCTTCGACAGTTTATTTTTCATGTTTTCTGTGAGGCACATGAGTTCATGTCTCATCATAATATTTTCCTAATAAATATGGTTCACAGATGAAATTACGGGCCTGCTGAGGTCTGTGAGAATTTTGCTGTATATTTCAACAGAACCAGGATTCCATCCAGTTCTTTTAAACAACTTGCGTTGTGCTAAAAAACGTCAGTAATAACTTTCTGACTCTGCCTGGGAACTCATAGGGAAGTGCTGTTTATGAACTGACATGTGGTGATCCTTAATTTATAGCAGAAAATGTATAAATGAAAAAATTGCAGCTTAATTGTATGAAATAATAAACCTGAAAGCATTTACATTTCTCTCTGAACAGTTGCGAGTATTAATCCACAAAATTCCTAATCTGTTTTAGATGATGAGCTCTCAGGCTCTAGATAAACCACATATGAGGTGATATGAATGTTAGGGCCCAATTCTGCTCCTGTTTGAAGTCAGCAATAAAATTTCTCTTGGCCTTAGGACTAAGAGTTTACAGATGACAAAAAGTAGAACTCAGCAGGGAAATACAGAAAGAATAGATTTTAGAAGTATTTTGTTACTTTAAAAAAATAAATATTAATTACTTCAGATCTCTCTGGATCTGAACACAAAATTGACCTAGGCATTTTGATTGTAGTCCAAACTCCAGAGTTATTACTTCTGCAGAGTTATGGCTGTGACAAGGAAAAAAACATTTGCTTTAGGAGAGATACATTTTTGGTAAAACTTTGGGTATGGTAACAGTGATTTAGCTACTTGTACTCTTCTA